AATCAAATAAGACACAGTGCCTTCCCACCTGTTCTCTGTGTTTGTTGCTTTCTGTTTGGGGACTTCTCCCAGGAGAGAAGCATTAAAAGACCTTGCTTCTTATTAATGGTCCTTTCATCATTATATTTAATCACCCCGATCCTTGCAACAATTCCCACTAAGATTTTACAGCTAGATTATTAATGAGGAAGGTGCATCTATACAAGTAATTGTAGTTAAGGGAGGTCTAAATACCATGACTGGGGTAAATGATAGGCAGAAGGCTGAGTGTTGAAGAATTGATGCTTTTGAACTGTGGTGTTGACAAGACTCTTGAGAGTCCCTTGGACTGCAAGGAGATCAAACCAGTCAATCCTAAAGGAAATCAACCCTGAATATTCATTGGAAGAACTGAAGCTGAAGCTCCAATGCTTTGGCCACCTGATGCGAAGAGCTGACTCATTGGAAAAGACACTGATGCTGGGAAAGACTGAAGGCAGGAGGAGAAGGGGTTGACAGAGGATGAGATGGTTGGATGGCATCATGGACTCAATGGACATGAGTTTGAGCAAACTTCAGGAGACAGTGAAGGACAGGGAAGCCTGGTGTGCTGCAGTCACTGGGGTCGCAAAGAGTCAGACACGACCTGGCGACTGAACAACAAGAAGGAGGTAAGGAGAACAGGGTCGCTGAATCTATAAGCCTGCACGTGGGAACCTCGGTGATGGATGAGAAAGGTCTTAGCAACTGGGCAACAACAACAGAGAATGAGAGATTACATCAAATCATTAACTTATAAAAGGTCGGGAACTCTCCTATCAATGTGACTTCTGACCTTGGGATTTACATGTTGTGAGTTTATGCTGGGGGTTTAAACAACTCTTTGAGTTGAACACAAGCAACCATTTGGGTGGTGTGGTTAGAACTACACCGTATGTTTATATGTATAAAAATGGAATCATGTTTTAAAATAGCAGCATAAGTCTATGTATTTTCAATGAGAATTCTTGACTCTCAAAGTTTGAAAACTTCTGATTTCAGTTTTTAAATGGGGACTTGGGCATGGTAACGCCCATGTGAATTACACATTTTCCAATTGTCAAATAGTTGAAATTAGTGTCCATATGAGTTTATGTCGTATAACATTCCTAAACATTCTCTGGGGCATACTATAATTTTCACATTATTATCTCATACTTTGGTTTTAATAGGATTGGTAAAAGTTTTGAAGTTTTAATTTCAGTTTTTCCCACTGCTTAGAATTTGATGATATAAAATGAAAAGAGGTTTCCATAGTTGCTAACATTCACCAGATTTTGTTCCAAAGCATGGGCTTTAGAAGACTTTTGAATTAAAGCCACATTCTCCACCCAAGCCTAGTGACATAATCCAGCAGTTCAAAGATAGGTATACCATAAACAGCTACAGTTAAATAATCTAAAAAAAAAAATTAAAACATGGAAATACAATAAAACAAGAATTGATCACTTTATAGTGGAATACTCTATAAACTGTCTGCATTGGAAACATGTGGTGAGTTTTAAAACATCTGAGTTCTGTAATTCTAAAGTGTATAGTTTATTTGAAGGCAGAAACTGTTTCTTCTCTCTGTGTGTGTGTGTGTGTGTGTGTGTATATATATATATATATATACATACAGGTTAATATATATTTTTTTGCTGTCCTGATTTGCATCCATTTACTTATTTTTAATTTAGATAAATCACTTTGGACTACACATTCCTAACATAAATATATTCACCTCAACTAAATATTTTATCGCTAAGTACTGAAATCTGGTGATGAAGAGATTAATTCTGTAAGTCTTGCTACTTTGTCTGTGTTTGTCTAAAACAAAAATCTCATATTAACATAAACCTAAATAGTAATAAGAAATTATTTGAAAGCATATATATGGTATAGAAAGGCATCAGGGTCTTTAATTTTTATGATCCTTTAAATTAGAAAAAGTTTTTAAGATCTGCAGGTTTATCTGAGCAGCATTGTAATCCTTGCATAATAATTAGAGGAGCTCAACTGGACCAGGCGTTTGGCAGTGTATTGTCTGCATGCCTCATTTAACTAGTTAACTGAAGTTATCCAACCCTCCCAAGAATGAGATGATTGACCTTTCAACCATCACAAAAACTGCCCTCTGGAGATCATAGTGGAACAGTTTACTTCATTTTCTGAGTTGTCTAAAAAGTTATATTGTATGTGTAACGACGTTACAACAGCCTCATAAGGGGAACAGAGCCATGTTTGTGGAGCAGTGAAAAGGTTAGTTCAGTTTCTTAGCCACGTTCAACTTTTTTAAAAAGGTTTTTTTGTAAACTGACAATACCCCCAAAACATGTAAAGCCCTTTGGAGGGGCCTTGGAAGTCCCTGGATGGACAGGGTATCTGGAGGGAGCCTCTGTAAGTGGGAGGTGGGGAGTCTGGGCAGGGCTCCTGGAGATGCCCCTTCACCATGACGACAGGATCCTGAGCAGGGACCCCCATCTAGGGCATTTTCAGGAGAAAGACGCACTTGCTGTTGGCTGAGCTTTGCTCCAGTTCTGAGAGGTTCTGACGTCAAGTGTCCACAGCCTTCTTGGTGACCAGAGGTGTCCTGAGCTCTGGCACCAGTCCCCAGCTGTGCGCCTGACCTGGCCCCTCCCCAGCTGTGGCGCTGACCTGCTCCAGGAGGGGCTGTGGAGGCCGAAACTAGGAGCATGCCTGTGGCTGCAAGGGCAGGCCCCTCATGGGTGCAGACCCTGAGGTGACGTGTCTTGTCCTGATCCATGGAGGGCCAGTGCCCAGCAGGTGTGACCCATATTCAGAGCAGACAGAAGCGGGGGCACAGCTCAGGGTCCAGGAGGAAGAGGGGAACCCTGTTTCATAAAGTATCTGCCAGGGCTTCCCAGGTGGTGTAGTGGTAAAGAACTCACCTGCCGATGCAGGAGTCGTCAAGAGACCTGGGTTCCATCCCTGGGTTGGGAAGATCCCCTGGAGTGGGGCATGGCAACCCGCTCCAGTGTTCTGGCCTGGAGAATCTCATGGACAGAGGAGCCTGGCGGGCTGCAGTACAAGGGGCCACACAAAGTCAGACACGACTGAAGTGACTTAGCACACACATGCATCTGTCAGGTAATGTGGTTTCCTGCTGAGAAAAAGAAAGCTGGATTTGAATTCCATTTTTGATTTCCTTGGTAGAACTGAAGGCTCTACAATTCCATTCTTTGGTCCACTTTATTAAGCAGAAAGTAAATGAACATCGCCTGCTTAGAAAACTTACTTAATCACTGCAAACTCAAACCAGACCTTTTAAGCCAGGAGTAATCTTGTCTGTGGGGAGAATATTTATTATACAGATGGAAGTAAAGTCTGAAGTAGCTGTTAATGTCTTTAACACTAGTTTTATTTTGTCCGCTTTAATGGAGATGGAAGAGAAATCACATTCAGCCTGGTCTCCCCAGCGCAGGGCTTTCCTCTGGGTTTGCTTGTGGAGGGAGGTGGGGGCCTTTCTGTTAGTTCCCAGGGGAGGGGCTGTCGCTCCCCCTGCAACCCCCTTGTCCCTGTAGACCTGGCGTCAGCGGTCCAGTGTTTCCCCATTGGTCTGTTTTGCTCAGTCCTTTCCCCTGGTTCAGCTCACTTAACAGAGACTTGTCCAAGGACATATTTTGTTACCAACCCACTCAGTGCATTTTGATTACCCAGCAGTGCCTCTCCTAGGAGGTGTGGGTCCTGTGTGCCTCGGGTGGTTTAAGCATTTGGTGAACGGATGAACGATGTCAGGAAGCTGGCTCACAAGGCCTCTGGTTTTCAGCATCCTCAGCAGGACTCACCCCCTTGTCCCCACCCTCACTGTCCGTCAGGCTGGCTGTGAATCAGTGCACTGAGTTGTGTCCTCAAGTGTGTAACTGCGTGGACATACATTAGTAGGTTTTCTTACTTATATAAGGGGCCAGGTGTGCAAGAGCAAGGGGAATATTTTCAAAAGTCATTTTAGTGTTTATTTTTTACACTACCACCTGGGAAGGTGTGGACCCTGAAGTTTCAGCACGGTGAGAAGAGCAGCCCCCCAACCCGCCCCACATTGCCTCATTTGTGTCTGCCTGGAGTGAGCTCACGGTGGGGGTGAGATGTGAGCAGGGCCTCCGGTTCTTACTCCTTTTGGTGCTCAGGATACATGACTGTAGGGGCCCTGGTTGTGTGGTTCCTGGGAATCCAGGCTTTCATAAAGGTCCACTGAAGGGCAAAGTGCAATACATTTACGAAAATGTGGATCCTTTTTGCTTTTGAACCGGGATGGGGATGGTTCTTCTGTCTAAGATCAAGGAAGACTGAGGGCTGGGATGTTTGTCTTCACTTCTTTGTACTAAGGAAGACCCCGTCCTGATAGAAAGCTTTGTATCTCAAAATGTGGACCCGGCGGTGGCTGCCTCCAAATTCCCCAAGGGCCTGTTCAAAATGCGTATTTCCAGACTTTCTGGCTCAGAATTTTAAAGGGCTGGGGATTGGAACTCTACACTGAAAGAAAAAATGTATCCCAAAGTGATTCTTCTGCATGCTGAAGTTTGAAAACCACTCTTCTAGAGTAATAAATAACTTCCACTGCTTCAAAGGGAAGAAAACTTGTAACGTCATGGGCGATTTGGTCCACACAGCAAGGACTCTGAAAGGACGCTGATGATGAAGCAGCTCCCTGAAACTCTATCCACGAGAAGGTTCCCCACCCTCAGGATGGTTTCCATCCTAACTCTTGTGGTGAAAACAGGAACAGCTCATGGTGTTAGTTGCCTTTGCCCGCTGACTCATTCAGATAATTGGCACTTGGAAAAGTTTAACTAGAAAAAATTTAGATTCTTTTTGTGCTTTAATCGTTACAAAAAAATTAAAACAGTTGAATTTATAGAGGTAAGTAGCTTTTGCAGAGTGCCTTTAAAGTGGGTTAAAATCGGTATTTTCTCACCATTTATGTAACAACTTTTAAATACAGAAAGGAGCTAATTTTGCAAAATACTTTTGTTTTTTAACAGGAAAAACTCACGCAAGAGTGTGTCTTCAGAGAACAGTTTGAAGAGAACTGGTACAACACGTACTCCTCCAACCTGTATAAGCATGTGGACACTGGACGGAGGTTCTACGTCGCGTTAAATAAGGACGGGACCCCCCGGGAAGGAACCAGGACTAAGCGGCACCAGAAATTCACCCATTTTTTACCCAGACCCGTGGACCCCGACAAAGTACCCGAACTCTATAAGGATATCCTAAGCCAAAGTTGACAAAGACCATTTCTTCACTTGAGCCCTTAAAAAAGTAACCACTATAAAGGTTTCACGCGGTGGGTCCCTATTGATTTGCTGTGTCATCACATCCATTGTTGCCAAACTCTGTCGCATGCATAGCCTGACGGAGGCGTGGAGGGGACATGTGACTGCTGCGCCCCGGGCTCGTCCTCCCGCGGGACCCCTGCCTGCTGTGCTGCCGGGTGGGTCTTGGGGCAGAGGGTGGCTGGGGATGCGGGGTGGGGGGCACGTGGGGGCAGGGCCTGCAGAGAGCGGGGAGCAGAGAGGACAGGCCATGCATGTACCCGCCCGGTCTGTCCTTTTTCATCCTGGTCAGCATAGCCGCTCCACCTGGACACGTCGGGACTGGCCGGTGGCCACGGGCCCACTGCGTCTCCGCAGGTGCGGTGGGCGCAGTCTTACCGACAAGACTTTCTCAGTTCCTTGTCACGGGTGTCATCCCAGTGAATTTAAAGCAAAGACCTCTTAGTAAAAAAAGAAAAAGAAAAAGAAAAAAAGTTAAATTTATTTATAGAGATTCCAAAGGCGACATTTTATTTATTTTATATATTTATTTATTATATAGAGTTTATTTTTAATGAAATATGTACAGGCCAGATAGGCATTTGGAAGCTTTAGGCTCTGTAAGCATTAAATGGCAAGTCCGCTAGAACCTGTGGTGAGTCCACGTGCGAACGTGGCGTGCATGGATTTCAGACACTCGAATGGCCCTGTGTCCCGAAGGCGACAGCCGCTGTCGTGCCCATGTTACTGTAAACTAACGCGTATCGCTCATGACACCGAGTATCCACTCTTCAGACTGCTTGTCCCATAGCTTATCCCAGAGGATTAAAGATTAACTGGGTCTCAAACGTTTATTCTGTGTCTGTACTATTTCCTCTCTCTTAAGTGGCTTCCTCCATCACAGTTGGAGAACATGACGGTTGGTATATATCCTACTTGTCTAAATCTATTGCAGAATATACCAAAGCTAAACAATGACTGTGCTTTTGTTTTAGTCGAGCTCCAGAACAACAGGACTCATTTCAAACATGTACTGGTTTAGAATTCTCAAAAAGGAAAAAAAAAAAATTACTTGGTACAGATTTTTTTTTAGGGGACAAGAATCTGAATCAAAACTGCAGAGTAATTCTTATAAACTTGGCTCTCAGATATTAAATTACACAAGCACCATAGGGGTCATTGTAACATCTTTTATAGAAAATTGCTTTCGGTGTGACCTGTCATAATAGCTGGTAAAAACACCCTTCAAATAAGACTTGCATAATGAAACTAATAAATCTCCATCAATCATGACAATGAGAGGGAAAATAAATACTTGTTGACTGTGTTCTGTTTTTTAAAAGGGTCTTCACAAGCACTTGATTTTTTTAGAGGGGAAGTTACTATATAATATCTCTTTTACTAGCCTTTTATAACATTTTATGCTGAAAAGCATAAGAATACATATTTCTTTAGTAGCAATAATTTTGAAACCTGCACTTGGGCAAGGGAGACTATTTCTTACTCTATACTAAGGAGAAGAGAGCCAAATTCTTAAAGCAATATTTAAGAAAAATAAATTTATAACAAATTCAAATACCACATATAACATTTTCTAGCCAGTTACATGGGAAATTGAAAGTGACAGTTAAAAAATATGTTGGGATTTATGTAACTAATTTTAAAGTTTAATATTCCAACTTTGTTTTGCTCTGATGCACATTCTCTATGAAAAATAAAACTATGTCACTGGTGAGTCAAAGCTGTTTTGAGGTAGAAGCTCATGGCTTCTTGTCATGAGCACAAGGGCCCCTTCCCTGACCCAAAGTGGAGAACCAGCAGGTTCACTGATGTGCATTAAGGAAAAACCAAGTCCAGTGTTTGGAATTAAGAAATGTTGTGGGGAAGGGGGCAGAAGCAATGTAAAATATCTGATTTATGATAAAGGTCAGAATGTCCTCTTCATTTATTTTCTTTTTTTTCTCTAAACAGAAGCTGCATTTAATCCCAAGATGTAGTATTCTTATTTATTATTTAACCCTTTGCTGCTGCTAATATGTGCACATATTCAGGCTGTAGATTTTCCAAAAGGCATTTAATATTTTTGGCTGAGAAACACCAGGCCTCTGACCACAGGGAAGGATCACGTTTCTAGGATGTCGTGGGTACAATGTTTAGCACTGAAGAAACTGATTTTAGGAGACAGCCAAAAGTGATCTTAAGGTAGCACTAGATGCTGGATTGACCCGTCGGAAAGAAAACCATCTGTGAAAAAGACAAAGCTCCCCATGGGTTCCTAGAAAGTGCTACTTTAATGTCGACTTTTGGAGGTTTTTTTTTTTTTTCAGTGACTTTTTTTTTTTTTTAAAGAAAAACAAAATGTTATATGCTTTGGCAACTGATATAATAAACTGTAATGGTGTGTAAATAAATAAATACTGACTTATGCAATTTCTGTACATAAGTGTGCCGGGGGAGTGGATGGCTCAGGTCTGGGGCCAGCACTGTCCTGTGGGGCCGTGGAGTGAGCCCCCCAGCTCCTGGCTTTGTACCTGGTTCTTGTCGTAAGGCACCCAAGGCCGTGGACAGCTGACCCCCCCACTTCTGGAGTGGTGGGTCTAGTTTTCACAAACATGAGCCTGGCCGGTCAAACCGCTGTCTTAACTGGTGCCAAATGCTGCACCTCAGTCACAGACTTAACGGGCATGGACTGATCACCCCCCATCTGTCATGCAGATGTCCCTAGGCCATGCCGACGGACATGCCAGCTCACCTTGGGGCACCTGTCCCAAGGCCGTGCCCAAGGACATGCCAGGTCACCCCAGGGCAGCTGTCCCTGCCATATCCTGCCAGGTCACCCCGGGGCACCTGTCCTCGCCATGTCCTGCGCTGTGGGTCAGTGAACGGCTTCAGTTTATGGTTTTCATGCGATTTCATCTCATTGACACTATGCTGTGTTATTTACTTGATAATCTGTAATTGTATGTAAATACATACAGGATTATGTAATTTGTGTAAATACATAATTACAGACTTTGGAAAACTGGTATTTTTTACTCTATGTCCATGTTGGAGCTGCTTCCGACTCTGTGCCTACACCAACCGATGGAATTTTAAAAACACGATCTCCTTGCTCTTACAGCTGTTGCGTGTGTGTTGAGGGGACAAGGGGGGGGTGTTGGGAGGGGGGAGCAGACCCACCCAGGTGTCTGTCTTTTCTGTGAGCCTGAGATGAAGGAGCGGGGGTGCCAGGGTTAGAGAGGCGCGGGCATGCCTCAGGCAGCACTCGGAGCTGTGTGCAGGCCTCCATGGATGGTGAGGGGACAAAGGCACTGTCTGAGGTCACGTTCTGTATGTGCTGCGTCATTTGACCTCGAAACGTGCCAGATTTAGATCCACTGTTTGTGGCCACTTGCACGAAAGCGCAATGAAATGGTGGGGGTTGGGGAATGCACCAGATGGACTCAAAACATGCGTTAGCCACCAAGCCTGTGTGTCTGTGTGCATGCATCTGTGATACATGCAGTGTCATACTGTGTCCACAGGCATTTCATGTTTTAAAACTGATATTGTTGCCAGTGGGACAGGGAGGAATTCTGAGACTGCAAGGTGCCTGCCTCTGTCACTAAGAGTACTGCATCCTGGGGAGTGTGTAGGGCTGGCCAGGTGGGAGCAGAGCTCCGCGCGGCTTCTCCTCTCCCTGCCCTGTGCCTGGGCGGCCAGCCTCCTTTGGTCATTAGAAGAATTTTTGTTGGATGTTTTCTTCACTGGGTTGATAGGGGGAGCAGGGAGAAATGAGACACGGCCTTTTCTATCATCTTCTTTGGGAAGAAAGTGGTAATGAGTGTTGCCCACGTGGGCCCTACCCCTTGGCACTGCGCCAGCTCACACTCATTAGGGCGGTGGGTCCAGCTCTAAGGTTGGATGGTGTTTTGATGGTGACCAGAGAGGCCGGGAAGACACCGAAGAGAGGCTTCTTTGCTGTTTGGTTGATAGTCAAAGAGAAAATCCATCTTTAGGTTTCTCATTATTCTCTGAATATATTCCAGCTTATGTCTTGGAAAACATTTTTAAAACAACTTGAATTTAAAAAGTTGCAGGCATCCCCCGTATCTCAAAATTCCCAGGTGGTGCTAGTGGTAAAGAACCCGCCTGCCAATGCAGCAGACATAAGTGACCCAGGTTCAACCCTTGGGTTGGGAAGATCCCCTGCAGAAAGGCACGGCAACCTACTCCAGTCTTCTTGCCTGGAGAATCCCCATGGACAGAGCAGCCTGGCGGGCTACAGTCCAGGAGTTCGGAAAGAGCTGGACAAGACTGAGCACAGTACCAGGTATCTCAACAACCCTTGGCCAACTGTGCTTGTAACTAACTGGCTGTTGTTTTTCCCAGCTCTTCTGAAGATCCTTCTGATTGCGTTGTGGTTTTGGTTGTGATTCCCATTGTTTTTCATGGACTGAACTGGGCACATTTGATCCTGGGAATGAAGGATTTACAAGATTGTGTGTTGGCCCATGTTGGGCTGAGCTGCTGAGTTTGCCTGCCTTGCTCAGAGCCTCCGGGGATGGGCAAATGGTCCTGACCATGTCTGTGGCCTGGCTTGGGGAACCTTGCTGTGAGTACATTCTGGCAGGCTTCTTCCTGAACACTTTGTGGGGTGTGGCAGAGCACTCTGGAGGCTCCACCTGGCTGTTGTCTCTGGCTTCCAGTGTCTGTAGGTGTGCAGGGCGAGTGCATGGCAGCTCTGTGGGATTTCTGCTTCCGATAAATAAAAAGAGGGCTTCTCCTGGCCCGTGAGGATGCTGAGGACTATAACTGCTCTTTCAGAAGAAGGCAGTCCTCTGAACCTCTCTTCACTCCACTGCCGAGCAAATCCTGCCCTCTCTCCCTCCCTTTCTGTTTTCCTTTTCCTCACGCCTTCCCTCCCCCTTTCTTTGGTTGTGTGGAGCCGGCATCAGCAGTAAAGAGACAGGCGGGGTCCCCCAGGGGTCCCG